CGGTTGTCTCTTCTCCCATGACAACACACTGCCGCTGGGGAGTCAGACCGACTGTCTCGACTCCCAGTGATGATGGTTGTTGCAGGGACAAGGGACCGACAATCTCCTCTCCCTGGGATGCTGTCTGCCGCTGGGGAGAGAGACCAATTGGCCACAGCCCCAATCTCTGAAATCGGAGCTCAAATTCCCATGCCGCTCGATTCTCCTCATCCAACTTGCGCACGGTTGCCAGAACTGCCTCTGTTGAAGGATTCGGGCCATATCTGGTTAATCGTCTCATGACCTCGTCCCGGTATGCGTCGCCCTCAAAGCGATAGGTCATGTTTGCTGTGACCAGGGGCGCTGTACGAATACAAGCGTTGCCCTCAAATTGTAACTCCAAAGTAACTGTGTCTCTGAGCTGCTTTACCTCGCACTAGGACGCCATCCCACCGCTTGCCACCAATGTAACGGAACCGCTGGCACCCCGACCGGGTACCTTCCGCCGACGGATGCTCCTAGTGCTTTCCGAGGACTCCAAGCACTCTGCCTGACACCATAACCACTGCAGACTTCACGAACCGCCACAGCTTGGTTGGGTTCTCGCCGTCTCCACCCACTCTGGACCCAGGACCAGGGTCCAGCTTCCAGCAGGTCGACCTCTCTCCGAATTCCAGAGAGCAGGAACAGGAACAAGCTCTTAGCAGAGCTTAGTGATTATACCCTGGGGAGTATAGTGATTATAGCAATCCCCAGAGTGTAGTTTCTCCAATCCCCCAAACATGAGCCGAAGCTTCATGAAGGTACAAGATGATCTGTTTATTGGCACACAAAGAACCTTCTTTTATGCAGGTCCCCATGCAAGGGGACATCCCACAGGGTGGGACACAGTACAACCAATCACACAATGGTTACATCCCACACATTTCCTCCCCTTAGCCTGAGAGGTAACCCAATTATCCATACATTTTAAAACACACTTTTTACCCAATTTTTATAACTCTAAAACTATACATCACATTCACATAAAACTACATATTCACAATCAATCCATTCAGGGGAACAACATATTAAAAAAATGGCCTGAATCAGACCAGGGGTTCAGAAGTTAGCACAAGTATCTTTTGGGGCCTGGCTGGCAGCATGGATATCTGGCCCAAACTGGTTTCAGAGTCCTCTATTCTGGAGATAATTGAGAAGTAATGCAATTATCTCCATGGACAGAGGCAAAACTCCATTAGCCACATGGCAGACAAAGGACAACAAAAGACATAAAAATACATACTGTTACATTTATCACATAGAACCTACACCTTTCCAATTTACCAAACACATAATAGCATATATAATATTGCAGACCGCCTGAATGCAATCTGCTACACAGTCTTAAAGGGACATTGTTCCTAAAAGTCATAATATGTCCAGGGATGGTTTTTAAAGGGCCAGCAGCAGCACCATACAAATCCAATATGCCCAAATATTGTACTTGAAGGGCCAAATAACCCAGGGCCATAGTCATGAGGCAAGAGGCTGGCAATCAGGCTCCTCCAACAGCCAGGGGAAAATCCGGTGACAAAAAGCGTTTCGTCACACCTGGTAATTACTTTTGGTGTCAAAGGCTGGTCATGGCCAATCAAATCCACAAGATGGTTTTGTGCTGAGCAGTGTCAGGATTACTAGTTGATCCAGCACGTAGAATTGTGTCACACAGATGACTAATAGGTAACGTATTAACGGGCCTTAGGATGGCCGGACTTAACGTACCAAAGAGTAGTCAGGATACTTGCCGAGGTCAGGGGATACAGAAAGAGACACAATGATAAGGGAAAGCCAAAAGTCAGGGATACCAGAATACAGGGAAGTCAAACAAAGCCAAAGTCAATAACCAGAATGTAGCGGATGGCATGTGACTGTCCGCCAGAATTATATTTTAAAAGACTGTTCGCATGTTTAAACTGCCTGTACATTGAAAATTGCATATACATTCGTATGTTAGTTCGGTAGTTTCCTTCATAGTTTATACGAATGGAAACTACCGAATGCATAGACCACCTTAGAGAAGAAGTGTGTCCCTAGTTAAACTCTTATTCCCTCTCTAACCGCAGTTAATTGATGTTGTATTGCTGTATCTGGGTGGCCGCCATTCGGTAGACGAACACGCGGCGGCGGCCATCTTACGCACAAACTCTCAGCTGTGTTTGGTCGTCGAGTGTCTGGAACTCAAATCGAACACCGCTGAGACCTCCAGAGCCCCAGAACTCATGAACGGAGGGGCTATTCGACTCCTCGTTCGGTGAGTTCAATATACTAAACAAGGGGGTTCGTGCGAACCCGGTATTATCTATGGATGGCAAGGATTTCTACCTGTTTTACCGCCCGAACGCAGACCGACCGCAGGGCCAAAATACATGGAACTCCTTTCGGCTTCATAGTCGTGTGCGGTCGGTCAAATCGTTTATTCCCTATAACTCCCGAACCCCTGGTCTGATCTGGGTGAATTTTGAGTATATTGGTCACCCAGACCAGGGCTACCAGGGTATGCCACTTAAGTCCTGGTACCCCATGGTTTTGGGGTACATCCAAGAAACAGGGGAAAAGGTACCAGGATTAAGTGGATTAAGTGTCACACTGAGGGGAGGGAAAGTAGGGGAGGGAACCTCTGTATTATTGGTTACTGCTATAATTACTGTAAATCCCTCCCTTGCATGGGAGAATCCTTTATAAGGAACTGCTGTGAATAAATCTTTAGTTCTGCTCCTGATGCTGTGTGTCGTCCAGTCATTGGGATTGCGATTGGGATATTGTTGGAGTCTTTTTGCCTGCTGGGATTATTACTCTGTGGATTTATTATACTTGTTCCTGAGCCATACTGGGATCCAAAGTGGAGATAGGCTGTGTAATACCAGCTCTCCGCTACACAGAAAATACTTGAATCAGGAACGCACTCTCGGACAACCACTAGGGAAACCACGACAGGGCAATGAAGAAAGGTAATTTGGGGTTTAAATACCTGCTTTACCTTTCTGATTGGCCAAGATTGATCTTTGACCCCAAAACATGCGCGTGCACGCGGTGCCTGCGTGACATCACGTGCATGCCAATGTAGTCAATCACGTGAGCGGACGTGGGGGTATAATTTGCCATGGATCCGCAGCCGCTGGGTGCAGAGACCGTAAGGTGAGGAAGAATATGTTACATTTCCCCCCACCTGCAGACCGCCCACAGGGCGGGCAGGACCTGGCTTGAGAGGAAATTTTGCATGAAAATAGCGGATCTTGCGGCCAGCATGTATATCAGAGGCCAGAACCCAAAAAATCAACTAAGTACTGCAAATACCTTCCATAACCCTTCCAATCAACTAAGTACTGCAAAGCGCCCAGAGAAAACTTGGAATAAATTATGGAGGAGACCTCATACTCCTCCTTTCCAGAAACAGCCAAGGGAGGAGGGGGAACACATGGGACAGCATATTTATTGCAAACAAGAGGTTTGAGTAGCGACACATGAAAGGTATTGGGAATACGTAATGAGGCCGGGAGGGCCAGAGAATATGACACAGGGTTAATTCTCCGAAGGATACGAAAGGGGCCCAGGAATCTAGGTGCAAACTTCATACTAGGTACTTTCAATTTAATGTTGCGCGATGATAACCATACCCTGTCACCCACTTGGTAAACGGGGTTGGCACCCCGCCATTTATCCGCATTGAACTTGAAACAATCAGCCGAAGTTTTGAGAGCGGAATTAACTTTGGTCCAAGTATCACAGATAGAAGAAAGGCGATCATCCAAAGCAGGGATAGCGGTGTCTGAGAAAACAGCCGGCAGGACAGTAGGATGACGACCGTTATTAACAAAGAATGGGCTGTGACCAGAAGAGTCATGGGTGGCATTGTTCCTAGCAAACTCGGCCCAGGGTAGTAATTCGGACCAATTTACAAAACAATGCAGATATAACTCTAATGACTGGTTAGCCCTCTCAGCCGTGCCATTAGTTTGGGGATTGTAAGTGGAAGAAAAAGACAATTCAATTCCCAACTGTATACTGAACGCCCTCCAAAACTGAGACACAAACTGAGAGCCCCTATCAGACACAATATCGTGAGGAATGCCATGCAGTCGGACAATCTCACGTACAAAGATAAGAACCAAGTCTTTAGAGAATGGCAATTTTTCTTTTTTTTTTTTTTAAATGTACAAATTTTGTAAATTCTTTATTTTTGCAGTGCAAGGTTGGTTAACAAGCATGTCATGACATTTTGTGCGAAAAGAAAAATTCATTGAGGTTAACCTCAGAATTATCAACAAATGTCAACGATATAGCACCTTTTATGTTTATAACATGAGAGACAATGGGGAAAACTGTACATTGCGTAGGAGTGTTAGTGAGTGAAGTTATAATAAGGCAGTTACATTCCAGCCTTACCCTCCAGTTTGGGAAGGCAAGGAGCTAAAACATGAGAGACCGGCTAGAGGTCATCACAAGATGTACAAATGTACGTTCACCACTGAGGGTCAGCCACAAGAGGGAAGGAGTAATCAGCGAAGCTGCCCTATAATAGTTCAGCAAATGAGCCGTTCCAAGGCATGGGAGAGTATCCTTGGTGGCCGATGGGTGGTAGTGGGTTTAGTTTCTAGGATCCCTGTTGCGGGAGGTTATAGTATTTAGCGATGATCAACTGCCAGTATTGGGCTGTGTTGCGCCTATTTTCAACCAGAGAGCATATAAGCCCATGGGAGAATTAAGTAAGCTCCATATCCCCGGACCTTGGGGGGGCGGGGGTTGTGTTTGAGGATTGTGTTATTATCGCATGATGCTGGGGCGTTAGCGACCTATATATGTCTGAGGGTCCCAGAGGACTTATCTATGGGAGAACAGATCAGAACGTAAAAAGCAAAACAAAATGCATAGGTATAACGTTACATAATGCCGGTATAACTATGGACTGTAGGTTAACAAAGGGGAGTCCTTCAGTTAGGCGCATCATCCTGGAGCCATTGAGCTAGCAGGTGTAAAGACCGCTACGTTGTCGACATTCCATTCGTGTGTTGGTCTGTTCGCCTGGCAGTGGTGGTAGTAGGCAGTCCCAGGGAGTGAAAGAACTCGTCGGCGTTGGACACCGGGGTGATTCTGTGCCTTTTGCCATTCCTCTCTACCACAAGCCCCCGTGGGGTCCCCCAACTATATTGAATGTCTGCTGTTAGCAGTTGCGAGGTCACCTTCTTCAATGTGGCACACCACTGCAATGTGGACTTGCTGAGGTCTTGAAAGAAGCACAGGGAGTGCTGTTCAAAGATGAATGGGGTTTGGCCTTTGACTTGTGCCATAAATGTGTCCTTGTCAGTTCGTGACCTAAAGAATATTATGACATCCTTGATCCCAAGGGTTTGTGTGTAAGGCTCCCTGGGAGGCGGTATATCCCATCTAGTTGCGTACCTTTAGCCTGTTTGGGTGTCAGAGTATTGGAGAGTAGTCTCATGATGAACTGTGGGAGCTCGCCAGCATCGATGGCGTTTGGGATCCCTCTGATTTTGAGTTTGCGCTGTGTTGCCGCATCTTCCATCTGTCCCACTTTTGCCGTCAGCTCTGCACACGTGAGGGTTACCCCCTGCAGCTGTGCTGTAGTGAAGTCCTCTTTGACTCCGAAGCCGCGGACATTGTCCTCCGTAGATTGTATCTTGCCTGCCAGAGTGCTGAGGTCTGTTTTCAGGACCGCCATTTCTGAGGTTATGTAGGCCTCAATCACCATCGCGGTTATGTCTATTTTTGTGGCCACTTGCGGGTCGGACTGCCGCAGGGGAACCACTCTGCCACTTTGGGTGTGTGGCTGAATCTCCTCCGGTTCTGGATCTTCCTCCTCAGAGGCAGACGTGGATCTGCGTGGTGTCTCTGCCATTCGATCTGCCATTTTAGGCCTGGATGGCTGGGTGAGTAAATAGCTGATATCCCAGGTGTGGCTCTCGCCAGGGCCCCCGAGATTTACAAGAGTGTTTGCCCATGGTTCTCCTGCTCCAGTTGGTGCTTACAAAGTGCAGACCAGTTGGCCCGATTAGGGTAAGTTTGATGTGACGGACCGCTGGCACTCCGACTGAGTACCTCCGCCAATCGATGCTCCTAGTGCTCGCTGAGGACTCCAAGCACTCCAACCGACACCATCAGCACTGCAGACCCCACTTCCAGCGATGCAACTGCGCCGGGGTCTCTGCTGTCTCCACCCACCCTGGACCCAAGGCCAGGATCCAGCTTCCAGTGGGTGAACCTCTCTTTCCCCAGAGAGCAGGAACAGGCTCTTAGCAGAACTTAGTGATCATAGCCTGGGGAGTATAGTGATTATAGCAATCCCCAGAGTGTATTTCTCCAATCCCCCAAACATGAGCCAAGGCTTAATGCTGGAACAAGACTGATTTACTGGCACACAGAACTCACAATTTATGCAACACAAAACTCCTCCTCTGGGCCAGGCTAGATAATTGAGTTTCTACAATACACAAAGCTCAATTATCTGCTGGCCAGAAATAATACAGTTTTTACAGCATATTCATAACTTCTAAAATATACATCACATTCACATAAAAATATATATTATATATTCACAATCAATCCATTCAGGGAAACAACATATCAAAAAATGGCATGAATCAGACCAGGGGTTAAGAAGTTAGTAAAGTATCTTTTGGGGCCTGGCTGGTAGCATGGCTATCTGGCCCAAACTGGTTTTACAGAGCCCTCTAGCCTGGAGACAATGGGGAAAGTAATCCAATTATCCAGGGATAGAAGCAGACTCCATTGAGCACATGTTCCCAGTAAAACACAAAAGGATACAAAAATACATAACTCCTATCACTGAATTGAACGGGCCAAATCTCCCAGGGTCCATAGTAACAGGGCAAGAGGCGGGCAAGCAGTCCTCTCCAGGCACAAGTGGCGAAGGGCACTTCGTCACATTTGGGTATCAGGATTTTTCTCTATCGGAGCTCAGGGTGCATGCGGCCGCTCCATTAACTAGTTGGCTCCGCCCCCCCTCAGGATGGCAATTTTTTAAGTGGAATAAAATGAGCCATCTTGGAGAAGCGTTTAACCACCATAAGAATGGTGGTATAGCCATTGGAACTTGGAAGTTCCACGATGAAGTCCATTCACAAGTGGGACCATGGAACACCAGGTAAAGGAAGTGGTTGCAACAAACCACAAGGAAGCTTATGAGGGACCTTAGAAACAGCACAAACTGAACAAGCCTGCACATAGTCCTTCACATCGTTTTTAAGGGAATCCCACGAAAATGATCTCGTGATCGCAGATATAGATTTACACCCTGTTCCAAATTATTATGCAAATTCTATTTAAGTGTCACAAAGATTAAATATTTAGTTTTTCAGTTTAACTCATGGATGGCATTGTGTCTCAGGGCTCTTTCGATCATTGAAAACAATCTCGGCCACCTGTGATAATTAGATTACCAGGTGAGCCCAATGTAAGGAAAAACTACCAAAGGAGGGTGTTCCACATTATTAAGCAGAGCACCATTTTCATGCAATATGGGGAAGAAAAAGGATCTCTCTGCTGCTGAAAAGAGTGAAATAGTTCAATGCCTTGGACGAGGTATGAAAACATTAGATATTTCACGAAAACTTAAGCGTGATCATCGCACTGTTAAGAGATTTGTGGCCGATTCAGAGCACAGACGGGTTCGTGCAGATAAAGGCACATTGAGAAAGATTTCTGCCAGATCCATGCCTCGGATCAATAGAGCAGCTGCTAAAAATGAAAAGATCCGTGGATATATTGACGATATCGTCATGGTATTAAAAGGTACAGAAAGTGAATTTAATTTATTTTTTAACTATCTTAACCACAATGAATGGTGTATAAAATTAACCAAAGAAGTTAGTCCACAGACGATTAAATTTTTAGACCGTAATATTTTTATCTCTAACAATCAAATCAAAACTAGGACTTTTTTTAAACAAGTAGATATTAATAGTTTTATAGAGACAAAAAGTTGCCATTATGATCCCTGGCTACAAAATATTCCCAAGGGCCAATTTCCAAGCCTTAAACGAAACTGTACAGAGCAGGAAGATTTTAATGAACAATCGTCCCTTTTGAAAAAACAATTTCTACAAAAAGGTTATAAAGAAGAAAGGCTTCAGGAGAATATTACTTGTGTTAATGAAAACAATAGATCAGAATTGCTTAACCCCTTAAGGACTGGACTGTTTTTGTGATGTTGTACATTTGCGACCAGGCATATTTTTACACTTTTGTGGTGTTTGTGTTTGGCTGGAATTTTCCGCTCTCTCATTTACTGTTCCCATACAAATTATATATTGTTTTTTTCAGGACAAAAGGGGCTTTCTTTACATACCATTATTTATATAATCTCATGTATTTTAATTTAAAAAAAATAAAAAATATGATGAAAAATTGAAAAAAATACATGTTTTTTGACTTTTACTTGAAAAATCTTTTACTCATCTACAAAAGCGAATGAAAAAAACTGCTAAATAGATTCAAAATTTTGTCCTGAGTTTAAAAATACCCTAGTGTTTACGTGCTTTTTTGCTTTTTTTTGCATGTTATAGGGCTATAGGTACAAGTAGGATATTGCGGTTTCAAAACATACATTTTTAAAATTTATCAATAGTGACATTGTAACACTATTATCTGTCATAAATCTCTGAATAACACCCCACATGTACATATTTTTTTTAAAGTAGACCACCCAGGGTATTCAATATGGGGTATGTCCAGTCTTTTTTAGTAGCCACTTAGTCGAAAACACTGGCCAAAGTAAGCCTTCATATTTGTTTGTGTGTGAAAAAAGTAAAAAAACTAAATTGAACGCTAATTTTGGCCAGTGTTTGTGACCAAGTGGTTACTAAAAAAGACTGGACATACCCCATTTGCAATACCTTGGGTTGTCTTCTTTTGCAAATGGTATGCCATCATGGGGGTAATTCTCATTCCTGGGCTACCATACGCTCTCAAAGGCAACGTAACCAACCTGGCCATTTTCAATGTAAAAATATTTGACCCATATATTTGACCTTGTAACTTTCAAAAATGCTATAAAACCTGTACATGGGGGGTACTGTTTTACTCGGGAGACATCGCTGAACACAAATATTAGTGTTTAAAAACTGGAAAACGTATCACAACAATTATATCATCAGTAAAAGTGCTGTTTGTGTGTGAAAAATGCAAAAAAGTCACTTTCACTGACAATATCATCGCTGTGATATGTTTTACTGTTTTGAATCACTAATATTTGTGTTCAGCGAAGTCTCCCGAGTAAAACAGTACCCCCCATGTACAGGTTTTAGGGTGTCGTAGAACGTTACAGGGTAAAATACAGTGCTAGCAAATTCAATTCTCTGGAATTTCGGCCTGGGTTGGCAGGCAGGTCCCTCAAATTGCAATCAATAAAATTACTGAATTATGTAAAAATATTACATAAATGCGCACGTAGAATTTAAATATATATGCATATTTATATATTTGAAGTCTACGTGTATATTTATATCATTATTTATGTAATTTTGTATATGGACATATGTATATTTCTTATTATTTTTATTTATTTTTATATACATAGATATATGTACAAATTCATTCTAAGTGTATTTTGATATAAATATATATATATTAATTTTAAAATACAGTTAGAATAAAATTTCATATAGATATAATTTTTTTTAATTTTTTTATTATTATTTTAAATTTTTTTTATTTAATTTAAATTACTTATTATTTATATTTTATAATAATATATATATACAATATATATAGTTATTATATATATTATATATATACGTGTGTAATTTAATTATAAGTGTATTTTTATATTAATATAAGTACATATTAATATAAAAATACACTTAGTATGGCATATATATATATGATATATAGACATATATTATATAGATATAATATATGTCTATATATCATATATACACATATATAATTATTATTTTTTTTTTATTAACACTAACTTTATTTTTATTTTTGATTTTACACTAGCAGGGAGACTGCCTGTCAGCACAGACAGTCCCCCTGCAGGCAGACACATGGACACCTATTGTGACCATGTGATCGCTGTGTTAAGCGATCACATGGCCACAGGGGTCCTAAATCAGTGTGGGGAGACTGTCTGGGCTGCAGGCAGTCTCCCCACAACGGGAGCAACGCTGATCGCCGCCGGGGGAACGACGGCGATCAGGTAAGTAACTAAGACCGTTAGGACGGTTCAGGACCGTCATTGGTCGGCAAGGCAAAAATGCCGATGACGGTCCTGAACCGTCCTAGGTCGGGAAGGGGTTAAATATAAAGAAAAAAAGAAGATAGATAAATCCAACCAAATTCCCTTTATTTTTAATTATTCCAGCAATATAGGCGCTCTTAAAAAGATTATTAACATTTTACAACAAGAGCATGATATTCAAGAATTTTCAGGTAAAAAAACGGAATTTGTATATAGATATGCCAGAAATTTGAAACAATTTTTAACTTCCAGTTCTGTAAACGGTGAGGAAAAGCATACATTTTTAGATGACTGGTCAAAAAAAACCAAAAAGGCTTTTTTCACTGCGGCAATTGTATTGCCTGCAAAAATACGAAAAGAGGAAATAAGAAACGTTAATACCTTCGAATAACTAAAAAAAACAGTTCGCTGTTCCCTCCTTTATTTCTTGTGACTTTAATAATGTTATTTATCTTCTTAAATGTAAATGTGGATTGCAATATGTAGGGAAAACCTCTAGATCCCTAAAAATACGTGTGAGTGAACACATAAGTAATGTAAAAAAAGGCTTCTTAAACCATGGTATATCAAAGCACTTTTTAGAAACACATCAATCTAATCCCAAAGATCTAGAATTTATGGCAATACAGAAAATG